AGGGTGTTTGATAACTGGTGGAAATTCTGTCAAGAATGACTGTAGAACCTTGTGGATTTTGGGACGGATTGTTCGAGCACCATATTCAAGCTTTGGAGAGGTTTCCCAACATGGAACGATGTTGTGAGCATCAACCTGTCGGCAGAGCAATGGTGCTTTTAAAAATAGTTAGGAATTTATAATTTATTAGTTTTTTTTACAGTGACTCGATAYTGTATCCAGCTAAGGGTTTATTGCTTGGTTTCACTCAGTTGATAAAAGTCTTTAAACCTCATTATCTACTCCAAATGGTGGTCAAACATTGACTATGATCATGTGCTGTCAACCAGAAAACATGMTGATAAAAACTTGTGACTCAGCTGATAAACATTCCACACAAGGTAGCTAGGAAATGACGTCAAGAGAACCAAGCTGTTTGTATGTGAGTATGTAGATTGAATACTTAAATTTATGTTCCTTTTTTCTGGGGGGAGAGGGGGGAGTGTTGTGTAGAACAGAGCAAAAATAAAGGAATTAAGCCTTACTCTTTTTGGTGCAATGTTTTCCCATTTCAAACCATGTGTCTTTCCTTTGAAAATAAGATTCTTTATTTGAGTCATATCCCTATTCAAGTGTCTTCTTGTTGAAACTGGCATTAATCAAAGAGTTAATACTCTTTATTATGACATGTGGTCTGTACGTAATGGGGAAACATTGCACTAATAAGACACATAAGGGTGTATTGCAGATGTTTCAAGCTGGAAAGTCTGTCATTGTCTCATGTTTTATAGTACCTGGCATACTGGTATGCTCTTTGGTAAGGCCTTGATAAGTTTGTCTACCCACTGCATGGGCTTCCTCAGTGGACAGAAGTCACACACCACACCACCAAAGTTAAATTYCTTTATCAATTCTGGTAACACTATATCTGGTTCACCAAGACAAAGATGAAAACTAATATCGAGCTCAGATAATTCCTGAAAAAAAGGAAGTTTTGTGTTCAAATAACATTCACGGTGACAAAAATGTCTTATAGCTTAAAATAACRGCTGGTTATCGGACAATGTCYACCCAGAATTGGAACTTGTAGGGTCAAAKTTTTGCTTTGCCAGTCATTATGACCATGATTCARAAACRAGGTATGACCAAGTAAAAACTAATTGGGCCAGTTATCATGACCAGCGGCCCTGATAGAGGCATGCGCTTTTATGTTGTTTTATAAAAGTCCAATAAAAAGTTTTCTAAAAGTTATTTTTTAGAAGAGCTAAGCCAAAATCCTCTCTGTAAAGTGCTTTTGRACAAGGTTTTTGGAAATAGCACTAAAAAATAAATAAAGTATCATCATCATCATCATTATGATCATAAGTATCATTGTCTCGTTCCCTCTTATTCTCACTGTTAAATCTGGAAAGAGCAAGTTGAATTTGCAGAGTATACTTCTAATTTAAGTTCTCCATTGCTCAAGTGTTAGCCTTGGTAAGATGTAATATTTTCTTTAGTATTAGTAGTTATAGCCTGCAGTAATGAGGTGAGCAAATATGCCTGCAAATAACAACTAAAATTCCTTTAGAATTCAACAGGATTTTCTCTCAGTGTTGAATTCAGGCTAACAGCTGAGCAGTAGGGAACTTGAAACTGGACTATTGACTAAGATCCCAGAGGTGAATGTACTACCACTGTACGACCCTTGATTCCCATACTGAGTGACATACATCTCCACATACCTTTTCAACATGTTTGAGGCCCTTCAACATAAATCCATATTTCCTTATGGCAGCATCAAGGAATGTTTTTGGGAGACAAAAGCAGACGTGTAGTGGTACTTGTTGCTTCAGTGCTAATCTCTGAGCATAGAGCAAGGCCCAATTATCTGGTCATAGTTGGTCCAAAAAATATAATTATTGTTAAACATACATATAATGATATATATATACCTATATTGAGATGAAAGAACTCAAATGGTTATAATGGTCTTTACATCTGGAACCATACATTTGTACTAAGAGCGCACATAATCCTAACCCCTCTCCCCCCAAAAAAAGAAGTTGTGGAAAAATGAACCTAAAAGTGGAAAGAACACCCTTGATATTTGAAAACTATTTATTGTTTTCATGAATTCAACAAAGTGGTTAGTGGATGTCAATCAAGGTGTTTCCATGACATACCATAGAAACATGTAAGAAACTTTGTGACAATATCATGACAACACTAGGGCAGTTTTATGACTGTGAAAAGCTCMYGGCATWAACGCYGTCTTGACMTGGCAAGGGATATGCCAGACCGCATTGCTTGAGAGTTCTCTCCCAAATCAATTAAGTACCTGGAACGATATGCTTAAACATGGTGCAGACACGGTCAYGGCACTGTCAGACCAATCACWTTRCAGGAGAAAAAAATCAGCCAATTAAAATTCTAAAAWGCCTCAYGGTCACAGCATGTCACGTTTATTGCAATGAGCTTCACTGTCATACAAAAACTGCTTTATGATTGACGTCCACCAAAACATCTCTTTAAAGGCCCGTTTACACTATCAGATTTTGCAGTGTGACTCTCGCCGCAACCGAGTTGCATGCTAAATTCACCCGTGTAAATGTCCTGTGATTCTGGC